GAATCTCAGAGCCCTTGAGCCTTGGCTGCCCTGGTTTGAATATTTTGGTCAGCACAGTGCTGGTCCCCATTGCTGTTTGTTGCCACTCCCTGAGGCCCCCAAGGTCCCCACCCTGAAGCTTTCTGGCCAGAGTTGCCCTCTGCTCTTGCTGCTTCTGGATGTAGCTTTGCAGGCTGGTTGTTATCCCATCTTTGGTTATGCTGGGGGGCTTGTTTGCCTGTGTTGGTGCTGACTTTGTTGGCAGCCCCAACTTGCCTGTCCAGCTGCTGGTTGACCTCTTTTTATAATTCTAGAGTAGAAGAAGTAATTTACTATGGTTTCACACTGGGTTTTTTTTTTCAGCCACTGTTTGGTCTGGTGCAAACTTTAGAGTTTTGCTATAGTAGGGTAGTGGGCATTGGGGTCTTCCTTCTGTTCAGGCAGCTACTTTGGCCAGAAGTGCCCTCTTCCCACTTCTTGTGCAAAGCTCAGTAACTTTCTTGATTCCTCCCTTTCCCTGACCCTCACAGCCAACAATTTTCTGGGTCCTGTCACTTTATCTTCGGTGATAGCTATCCCATTCATGCCCCATTGCTACTTCTACAGTTACCAGACCAAGCCAGCACGGTCCTTTAACACCTCACAATATTGCACTAGTATTTCCATATTTCACAAAAATACTATGATTCTGGAAGCCCTGAGTTTGACACATACTGACTATGTGACCCTAGGCAAGTCACTTGATTTCTGAGGGTCCCAGGCCACTCTCTAAGATTGCAGGCTGCCAGCAGGTGCCCATCTGCATCCAGAGAGAGAGTTTCCTCATTGGGAGCTCCTTAAACCAATGAAATCATAGGACCAATTCCTGCCCCACCCCTAGTATATATGATCTCAATGGCTTCAGCCAAAAACAAAAAACAAACAAACAAACAAACAAAAACCCAGCCAACTTTTTGCTGCTGAGTGATCCTCTCAGGCATAAGCCAGGGTAGTCCTCAGATGACAGGCCTAGTGACAAAACCCTAATGCTTGCTAGTTCACCCTTTGTAATGCTTTATGGGCCCAAAGAACTTCCTGTATTTTCTCATACTTGAGCCTTAAGTGCACAAGTTTCATTATCCTCCTTTAGAGAGGAGGATCCTGGGATCCTAGCCCCATACCTCTTTTCCCTTTCACAGATAAACTCCTCCAAAAGATTGTCTCCAGTCAGTGCCTCCACTTCATCTCCTCTCCCTCCCTCAGCTGAACCTTTCTCCAGGTTCCAACTGCTAACCATGAGTATCTGCTCGGTCCTGGGCCCTCTTCTCTCCTCTTTCTACCCTACTTCCTTTGGGGCTTTCATCAGCTCCTGTGGATTTAATGACTATCTCTATGTAGATAGTTCACAGATCAACTTATTTAACCTTAACTTCTCTCCTAACTAGCATCTCCAGCTGCCTAATGGACACCTCGAACTGATGTTCCATGAACATATTAAACTCAATCAACAGACAGAACTGATCATCTTTCTCCTCTCTTTGTAACTCCCTTATTACTGGTGGGCCCAGTCACCCAAGCTTTCATCTTCAATTCCTCACTTTCTGTCAGCACCACCCCTCTATATCCAATCTGTTGTCAAGTCCAAAATTTGTTGCATTTACTTGTAACACCTCCTTCTTTCCTTTGCCATTGTTACTGCCCTCATACAGGCCCTGGTCACCTCTCACCTGGACTATTGAATGAAACTTCTAGTTAGTCTTCTAGCCTCAAGTCACTTCCCACTCAGATCTTCGACTCAGCTGCCAAATTCACCTTCCTAAAGGGCGAGTCTGACCATGGCAACCCCCTATTCGATAAACTACAGAGATGTCCTATCATCTCCAGGATCAAATAGAAGACCCTTTGTTTGACTTTTAAAGCCCTTTATAACCTGACCCCTCTCTGCTCTTATTAAACCTAATACCACTATCCCCGCCCCTCACCTCCCCCGCAACACACACTCTTTGATCCAATGACAGTGGCTGCATTGCTATTCCTCAAACACAATACTCCATCTCCAAACTCTGGGCAATTTTTCTGCCTGTCCCCCATCCCTACTCATCTCCACCTCTGGGCTTCACTAGTTTCCTTCAAGTCCCAGCTAAAATCCCACCATCTACAAGAAGCCTTTTCCCATCCCCTGTAATGCAAGTGCCTGCCCTCTGTTGATTATTTCCAATCTATCCTGAATTTAGCCTGTTTGTATGTGGTTGTTTGCATGTTGTCTACCTGGTTAGATTGTGAGTTTTTCCAGGGTGAAGACCATTTTTCATTTTCTTTGTGCCTGTCACTTAATAAATGTTGACCAACTGACTGGAGATAGATCTTAGACCACCTTGTCAACCCCCTCATTGAAGGGAATTGACTTACTCAAGGTCACCCAGTTAGTAAGTGGCAGGTCTGAGACGTGAGCTCTGGTCCTTCTACCTCCCAGTACAGCCTCCTGCTATCTCCCTGCCTCAAGGTTCTTACCATTTAAAGCCTGAGAAGACCTTGATTTAAGTTCTAACCCTAACACTTGACCAGCTGTGTGACCATATGTGACCATTTTCCCTCACTAAGCCTCAATTTCCTCCTCTTACAGATTTTCAGTTTCTTTTCCCTATTATTGTTCAGTCATTCAGTCGTGCTCCACTCTTTGTGCCTCGTGGACCATATCAGGCCAATGCTGTCCATGGGGTTTTCTTGACAAAGATACTGGAGTGGTTTGCCATTTCCTTCTCCAATGGATTAAGGCAAGCAGAGGTGAAGTGACTTACCCAGGGTCACACTGCCAAGTGTCTGAGACCAGATTTGAATGTAGCACCACCTAACTGCCTTCCTTTCCTAACTGTCTCTTATTGTTGTCCTGCTCATAGCTACCCATCTAGTCTTCCTTTGACACGGTTTGTCTCATTTCACTCCTCTGATTAAAAAACTCTCAGTTGCCCCCTGTGTCCCTGGAGTATCAGATTCTAACTTTTCTGTTACCTATACCACCCCTGGGGGAGAAGAAACCTTGTAGCAAATATACATGTAATACCCCCTCCCTTTCTCAACTCCCTGTTGTCACTGGCCCTGTTGGTTGCTGCTATTTCTGATAACCCCTGTGGGTATCTAGCCACCTAAACACTAGCTCACAAGCCCTCATTGGTGTGCTTTGCCACCCTCTCCCAACATTAAGTCAATAGACTCCATTGTTTAGCAAGGGCATTTACGCAAATAGCATAACAAGGACATGAGGGACATGCACTTAGAGGAGGGGTTCCAGGGCAGGTCGTTTCAGGAAATTTGATTCTGACAAGAAGAGGTTTTGTAACAAGATGAGGCCGGGGTGGAGACAAAAGGAAGGTGGCCTTTGATGAACACCTTGAAGAGTATCAGCCTTGAGATAAAGTGGAAGGACAATATCAGGGTGCCACTCTTCAAGCTTAGGGCAGCTTTCCAGGGATGAGGAGGGCCGGCTCCCAGGACACAGACCTGCCAGGAGGGAGGTATTCCTCATAACTCAGGAGGAAGGAGAGTTTGACCGTCATAGCTCAGGAAGGAGGTAAGGCCTCCTTCTTGTCCCTCAAGAGGGAGGGAGGGAGGGAGGGCAGTGCCCAGGCAGTCCCCTCTTCCTTCGTGAAGGTCCCAACACAGGAGATAGGTCTGTCAGGAGGGAGGGCTTCCATCAAGAGATAGGCCTGTCAGGAGCCAGAGAGGGCCAACCCCTTATCCATCAGGAGGGAGGGAGGCCCTCTTTCTTGTCCCTCAGGAGGAAGGGAGGGAGGGAAGACCCCCATCCCAGGAGGAAGGCCTCTCAGGAGTCACCAAGGGCTGCCCTCTCATCCCTCAGGATTGGAATAGGGGGGCAGTGGCTAGGCAGTCCCCTCATCTCTCAGGAGGGAGGGAGGCCAGTCTCTCATAGCTCAGGAGGGAGGGAGTTCCCCCTGCATCACAGGTCTCTGCATATGAAGCATTGACCAGGTCTAGGTACCAACCACGCCCTCTAGTATCTGTTGTTCACGTACTATGGTTCTTGCATAGTGTTCAAGGGAAATTGGATATTTTGTACAATCATTGTAGCCAGGGCATTTGGGAGAGAATATTACACACAGCATTATTAACTTGAATATGTTTTTTAAATTTAGGATTTTGATGGCAGGGCTCTCTAGTGAAAAACAGTTTTAGCTTCATTGTCAGAGCACCTGAGTTAGAATCCCACAGTCCCCTGTGTCCCCTGGAACAAATTATTTCACCACTCTGGGCCCTAGTTTCCTCATCTGTAAAATGGAGAGAGCAGGTCAGACTGATTAACCTCTACAGTCCCTTCTAGTTTTAGATCTATCATCTTATGTGTGATCTTGGACAAATAACTTCCCCTCTCTGGGCCTCAGTTTCTTCCTCTGTTAAATGAAGAAATTGGACTCAAATGAACTAATTGCTGTTATGGGGGAGTTTTCCCATTCACTAATTCCCATATATTTATATATCCAACCCCAAAATCCTTTTAAAACCTGTGAAATCTAGTTCTTGCACTGCCTAGGCTCATAGGATCAGAGGCCCAGAAAGGTTGAGACTTGCTCAGGGTCATTCAGCTAGTAAGGGTCTGAGGTAAGATTTGAACCCAAGTCTTCCTAGCCTTTAAGTCCTATGCCCTAACTAGATCATACTGCCTCTTTGCTCTTCTCTTCCATTTACAGTGGTCCTAAAATCCATTCATCCTTTGGTTAGCTCTTAATGAGTTAGCCTATGAATCCTGAGGTACTTGGCTTCTTCCCATTCTTCTCCTCCAGGATGTCTTCTACCGACATCCCTACTCTCTGATACCTGCCAAAGAGTGGGTGAGGAAAGCAAAGGAAGAAAGGAAAAAGGAATCAGTTGTTTTGGCTAGCTGACTGCTAAAGGTGGTTGAAATGCCCTTTAAAACTTTGGATTGTAAATGATATGTGCATAACCTTCATCCCTTTTATCTATGCCATAGTCTCATCTTTTTATTATGGATAATTGAAATCTAACTGTCAGATTTTATTGTTTTGTAGCACGCCCACCCCCTCTGGACCTGGGGAACCTCTCTACTATCCGGGAGCATTCAGCTTTGACCAGGACTTGGACTGTGCCTTAGTAAGTCATGAAACACACTCTCTCTTCTCCCTCCCTCCTCCTCTCCCTCTCCTTCCGTCTCTTTTTCTTTCTCCCCCCCAGTTTAGTATGGAATGGTGATTGATAGAAGCCCAGAGAACAGGATTTTCACCAACTATCCCCATGTAGATTACACAGGCATGCCCCCTACATTATCTGGGGATCCTTCCAGTCAGTATTGACCCATTGTGATCTCAGGTCCTGCCCCAACCCCATGCAGTTACCTGCCATGGACATACTCCATAACACCAAAGACCACTTAGAAATTAAGCCTTCTCTGGTGAAAGTAGGATTTGGCCTGACCGAAAAATGAAAGTAAACTAGATGGATTCCGGTGTGGTAGGACAGTCTCTCCTTTCTTTTGTTACATTCCTCATTAAGTCTAAGCAGGGACAGTGCCATTTTTCATCTTTGTCTCCTTAGTGTTTGGTATAGGGCATTACACACACACAGTAGGTGCTTAATAAGGGCTTGTTGGATTATTTCAGTTGCCCTGGATTGCAAGCTTAAGATCAGCATACTCTCCAGTAAATACACCAGGGTGTAGGAATCATTTCAAACGGGAAGCCTTCCCTAACCCATATTCATTCCATTATTTTCCCTCTGTTAATTATTTCCCATTATACTGAATCTAACCTGCTTTGTTTGCATGTTGTCTCCCTCATTCGATTTGTAAGATCCTTGAGGGCAGGGAGTACCTTTTACCTCTTTTTGTATTCCCAGCAAGTAACACAATGTCTGACATGTACTAGGTACTTAATAAATATTTGTTGATTAATTGAAAGGCAGAGCTGTGAATGAGTGAAGAATTTGTTCTGGACTCTAAAGGACTTACCTCAATCCTTGGATCATTTGGGTCCAATAGGCACTAGTGCTCCATCATTGATGGGGTGAGTTTTCATCCTACTGAATATGTTAAACAGCTCTCGAATCTTAGCAATAATGGTTCCCTCCCACACTTCAGACAAATCGCCTCTAGGAGATAAAGAGGGTATCGGGATTTTTGGTTCCCTTCTGTCACTAAGGATAGCCCCTAGCTGACTTGAGTATTTCATCTTCTTGCCTTTGTACTTTGATTTAGAACTAGGAACCATCATTTAAGAGTGGGAAAGAAGGAAGTTTTAAAGACAAATCAAAAGGAAAAGTGGTTCACCCAAACAGTAGCAAATTTCAGGTGCTTGTTATTCCCAGAAATAGTACAAGCTAAAAAGAGAAATAATTTCCAAAAAAGTTCATGTGAATTCCTATAATGGCCTATTGAGAACATTTTTTTCCCATTCAATTTAACAAGCACTTATTAAGTTCCTGCTACATACCAGGCACTGTGCTAGATGCTGAGGATGCCAAAAAGGAAAATAGTCCCTGCCTTCAAGGACCTTACATTCTCTTCAGAACAAACATAGTGCACACAGATAAATGCAAAAAAATAAAATAAAATAAAAGGATAGTGATTTTTAAAACCCAATTGATGTTATTATAGTGTTTTAAGATTTCCCAAATGCTTTTAGGCATTCTTTTCTTGAGTTTCCCAACAACCTTATGAGGGAGGTATTACAGGTTAGGTTAGCCCCATTTTACAGATAAGGAAACAGAGGCTTAGAGAGGTGCCAGGTCACACAGCTAGTATGTGTCAGAGGTAGTATTTGTCTTCTTGATTCCAAGGATAGTCCTTTCTCTACCATGGGTTTAAAGAAGGGCAGATGCTAGTTTTCCAAAAAGGTAACAAAATGGAGTCTGTCGAGTAGAAATCAGTGAGCTTGACTTTGGTTTCTGGCCAAATTCTAGAAGGTCCCTTTTGTATCTCTAACAGTCTGTGATCTTTGGGGTCTAACTTCTCTAAGCTCATTATGTGGGTTTAATTACACCTTTCTGCTTTAGTCAGCTACTACTGCTGCCACGAGAAAACGTGGAAAGTCAGGCAATGAATGACGTGACCCAGTCAGTCCTCTCAGGATCAGAAGCAGAGTTAAGTGGGTCAAGCCCAAAGTGAAGGGAAATTCTTCAGGGCCGATTTCTGGAGGCACAGGAAGGCGGTCTGTGTCATGCCTCGGGGTGATTAGGAACTTGGAACAGCAGGGAGAAAGTAGGAGGCCAGTCCAGGGAAGGTAAAGCTATTTTCCTTGCAAGGACAGAGGGAATTAGCCCCTTGGGTAAGGGAATAGCAAGCATATTGTCTTGGAAAGTTTGAGGAGATGGAGAAGGGAAGTTGATGACCTTGAATGCTAGATGGCAGCAACTTCTCTTTATGAAGTAAATCCAAGCTAGTTTCCAGGGAAGGAAGAGCACGCAGTAACACCTGGGGGGTGGGGGAGGGTGGGGTGGGGAATCAGGACCTCAGGAAGGAGGTGATGCTGGAGCTGAGTCTTGGAAACCACTCGAGATTCCCCAAGGTGGAAGGGAGGAGGGAGAACATTGTAGGCAACAGGGAGAGCCTGTGGAAGGCATGAAGACAAGAGATGGAATGTGTGCTTGTGGGCCAGTTCAGCTGGAATAGAGGTTGTATGAGGGGGAGTGATGGGAAATCAGGCTGGAGCCGAATTGGGAAGAGCCCTGGGGAACAACTGAATTTTAACTTTTGTAAGTTCCCATCATGAAGAACAGTCCTGCTTTCTCACATGCCACCCCTTGGTGCCACTGACCCAGCATGACAAGTCTTCCCAGCATGCTCCATTAGTGGCAATTCAGCACATGGGGCACAACCATGGATAACTGAAGCCTTCCACTTTCAACCTCTTAAAAAGTCCATCTCTCTTCTGAAGAGCACCTCATGGAAGGCTGGGCTTCTCTATTTTCAGGACCATCAGGCCCAACTCCCCTTGATAGAGCTCTGCCCAGCTGAGGTAGCCAGACGTCCCCAAGGCAATGCAAGGTCATCTGTCAGCTGAAGGCTGGGGACATGAGCTGAGGTGGCAACACCTTAGCAAAAGGGCCCTACTTGGGTTAAGAATGACCATTTGTTAGGGAATTGTTTGTGGTCCTAGGAATAATTGTCCTGTAAGGGAAGTAAATTGTTCCCATTGATTCATCCCAGGGTGGCTCTGCATCTACTCAGTTCATGCCAACTACTGAAGTCAATCCACAAGTATTTATTCTGTCAGTTGGTGCTGTGCTAGAATCTGGGACTCAGAGACAATTGATCAATCTACAAGCATTTACTAGGCAGCCTCACTCACACAACAGGAGAAAACAACAGAAAAGAAATAGGTCCTGCCCTCAAAGGGCTTAAAAGTGTCCACTTCTGGGGCCAAATTCTAGATTGAAAGGTCCATTTTTTGCATCTGCTTTGTGTTTGTTTTATGTAGTGATTTATGTGTTGCCTCCCCCATTAGAAGATTAGCTCCTCTCCTCTGCCCCCCCTTCCCCACTTAGCATGGCCTGGTATCCAATAAACACTTAAATATTTTTTGACTGACTGATTGATTGATGAATAAACATGGGGGCAAAACAATTTGCCAAAGGTCATACAGATAGTGTCAGGTGGGATTGAAGCCCAAACCTCAGCCTTTTCTGAACTACAGACAACAAACATCAGTGCCTGTCTTGGGACTGGACAGTCATGCTATGCAGCTGGAGGAGCCAATGAGTCAATTTCTGAACTAAACACCAGTTGCTGTGCAAGATAATTTCTCCAGATGTGTGCCAGGTGTCTTTGTCACTTCTAAGTCCTAGCTAAAAATTCCTATTGAGACTTTTGAGGTCAAGCCCAAGGAATGAAAGTAATGGTCTCTGGGAACCTGTTGGTGGGGGAGTCTATTGCTAAAAAACCAGAGCTGAAAAGGGATCTCCTCTACATATGGGTCTCCATGTCAGTTGTTGGCTGGTTTTCAAAGCATCTGTAAGACATTTCCTTAATATCCTCTATGTTTTTCTTCCTAGCAACCGAACCAGCTTTCTCTCTCCAGAAAGAGATGGGATTAATTCTGCAAGATTATTTGCCAATTCAGTTTCCGGAGAAGAGGAAGAAAGTTACATTCAAATGGTAACGTATTTTGCATGTGGATGGAATATTGACAAGTTCTTTTTCTAAGAAATGTGTTATGTGTGTGTTTGTGCTCTTAAAAAAAAAGAAAAAAAAAGGACACCAACTCTATATGGTCTGAAACTTAAGGTTCAATAACAGAAACTATTGTAGTCTGCCTTTCTCCTTCTCTCCCTGCTAGCCCACAAATCACACCAAGATATTCCAAGAGAACTTAAGAAGCATTTCGTTGGCAAACTCTAAGAAGAAAGTTCTGACACCTTCATACCAAGATTGGTGATGTCTTTGGGAAAATGAAAGACCAATAATATTTGGAACATTTCTGTAATTGGCATCATCACCTTGATGCAGTCTCATCACCCTCAATACTATTCCTCCCAAGACCTAACCTTTGGCTCCCCAGATTACCTTTGTTCCAGCCCATGACTCTCCTTGGCTCCAGTGGACAGTAGAACTGTTTTTGGTTAAGAATGGCTGGGTAGGTAAGGTCATAGCAGGGATTATAGGTTCAGAAATTAATTTTCAACCAATGCTCCAACATTTGCCTACACTGGATGGGCCTTTCATTGGGAAGCTAGCTTAGACAGAGTCTACAAGAGGACTATGAGAAAGAGAGTCTTTGGGGTTACGTCTTCACAGTCATCAGCTATATCAAAGGGAGTTTATAGAAGCGTAACTTCAAAATTGGGCCCTCACTAGCCATGCCTTTCTCCCAGTTCTTTGAACTTGGGGGATCTAGGCCAATGATAGTGAGTAGGGGGGACAAGAAATAAAGACAAAAATCTAGGAATAGTAACCTCCAGGGAAGCAACTATTTTAGCATTTAACTGCAAATCTATTTAGCCTTATGTACTTGTACTATGATCTTCCTAATGTTTCTCACACCTCAAAATGGCTGTTGGGAATGTCCTAGTGGGACACCACTGTTAAAAAGGATATTAAAAAGTTGATCTTGACCTTCAGAAGTCAGAGATGATTCAAGTGAAGCTTGTGAAGCCCAGGAGCAGAGAGACCCTGACTGACCTGCTAAAGTTCAAGGGTAGTCCTGGTGGGAGGCAAAGAGAGGACAGAGTCTCACCCTGACACACACATTGGTTTTCCCCACTGTTGATGATGAAAATCCCCCTTGAATCAGATTCTGGCAAGAATGAGATAAGTTGAGAAAGCCTGAGAAGTTTTTTGATGCAAAAAAAAATTTGTAGACTTGAACAAAAGCTATCTACCTTGAAAGAAGGAGTTCCTTGGAAGGGCATGACATAGAGTTGGTTTTGTGGCAAAGTAGCCTTTTATTTGATAAGAATGAAACAACCCAAGGAGCTTGTACCTCCATATGCCTCCATATTTTTTACTCTCATTTTGGCCAGACCTTGGAGGGGAGAGGTTTGTAGCAGTGGGAAAATTTTCCAAGTATAGAAAGCATAGACATGGTGGGTCTCTGGGAGCAGCAAGATGCAGAACCAGATCAACTCCTCACTGCAGTACTTTTAGGAGCCCTGAAGAAGCCATGCTTTTATTTTGGTAGCTACCCCCTCCACTGACATAAGTTCCAACCCCTTGTTGATGTAGTTGATGGTCTTAAAGAGTTGCTGTGGCTCAGTTTATCCTCATTTATCCCCAATGAGATGATGAGCCTACCTGAACTTAGCTGGATAGTAGGGGGAATCAGCAGAATGTGACTTTTGTCCTAATGATAATTAGGGTAAATTATAATTAAAAACTTTCACCTCCTCAAGCAGGGAAAGTAGTAACTACAGATGTTCTGAAGTATACAGTGACTTTAGATAGGCTGTAGTCAAGAAGGAAAGGGGGCAACCCTGGTAAGGAAAACCTTAGTGAATTTAAGCGGTGGTCAATAGATAACATTTGCCTTTTAGCAGAGGTACTTACTTTGTACCCAGGTGCTTGAATTTTCTTTTACCTTGTTCAATATTTTATCTCTTTATTAGAGCTGAATTCATGACACTTGTATTTTCATCAAGTTCTATTGTTTACTGATAAACATAATGCAGCTGCATTCCTTTGAGTCATGCATGGCTGGTTGAAGGCTGGAGCCCAGTGCAAATGAAGGCAGATACCGTTGTGGATGAGCTAGGCCATATTGGAAAGCAGTGCCTGGGAGAAAACGATCATCCTCTTGAGAACTGGTCTCACAAACCTAGTCCTACACCATGGCCACCAATGCCCTGAACTTAAGAACTTCCTCCCTTCCTTTTGCTGGGTTGTATTCTGCTCAGTTCTTGAATGTTTCTTTTTTGGCAGGAACACAGACAAGGACACTCCCCTTGTGAGGGCACTTTTTCTTGGCCAAAGAAATTCAGCCTTGATTATTTAGCCTTGGATTTTAATCCAGCTTCTCCATCTCCAGTGCTCAAGGTATGAATCTACTTTCTAGGTATTTCTAGCCCTGGGTCTGTACCATTGTAAGAACCATCAAGTTGGAAGTTCTACTATCTCCTTATATATCCTTGGAGGACTTCATTATTCCTTTCCTTTTTGGGAAGTTGCCCCAAGTTTAGAGTTCATATGATGTCCCAATGGGTCTTGGGAACTTAATTTTGCTCAGATACTAGTGAGTGTATAAGAGTGGGGATGGGGCTTATTTTGGAGGGGAAGGAGTCATGTCCATTTGTATCCAATATCAGATAAAGTGGAACTGCCATTTTCATGCCCCTAGATGCTGCCAACAGTAGGGAACCTCCATCAGATGACCAGTAGCTGTCAAGTATTTAATTTTTTAAAGAAATTGATCACATCAATTAACATTCATTTCCATATATACTCCTCCCTCCCTCCCCTACCCAACAAGCCTTCCCTTGTGACAAAGATTATTTATTCTTATATATTTGTATTAACTGCTTGTATATCTTGGTGTTTTGAGTTGGGCTTAGACCAAGCCCCTCATAGTTTATGTTCAATATTGGAACAAAATGAGGCACTCACGCATCATTCAACAATTAACAAAAGGACAGGGGAAAGGATATTCAACAAGGACTTGCATTGAGGATATCTGAGATGCTTCACCTAAATGAAACTCTCCTGCCCTTCAGTTGCCTATTATGGTCTGCCTGCCAGACATCAGGAAACACTGGGGCTCCTTGTGATTCTTTTGTACTCAAGTGATGTCAACAACCTGAACCTCTAATTCCCTGAGCCAATCAAGTTTCAAATGAAACCCAACTTTCAATACCTTTTAAGGAAAAATCAGTCAAACTTGCATAGCATGTTTCCATATACACAGAAGAATAAAAACAAATTTATATATAAACCCATCGATGTCCATTTCACACCATTTGCTTTTTTTAATACAATAAATACTATGTGTTATTTTCAAAATTTTGTGCTTCTTTCTGTACTTTCTTCTATTCTCTTTGTTTTTTGTTTTTAATTTTTTTTTTAGGCAATTGAGGTTAAGTGACTTGCCTAGGGTCACACAGCTAGTAAGTGTCAAGTGTTTGGTCTGAGGCCAGATTTGAACTCGGGTCCTCCTGACTTCAGGGCCGGTGCTCTATCCACTGTGCCACCGAGCTGCCCGCCTATTCTCTTTGTGTTTTAAAAAATGTTACAATGGCTCCCCTTCCCCTCCTCCTCCTCCCCCTCCTCCTCCTCCTCCTCTTCTTCTTCTTCTTCTTCTTCTTCTTTCTCTCTCTCTCTATTATCTGTTTTAAAACCAAATATACCCCATTGAATATTTAAGTTTTCAAATATTTATTCTTATCACATTCTTTTAAAAGCTTAAGTTTCCCTGCATTTTTTCCAGCATTTTTTGTCCAACACACTTATTTGGGAACCTTATCTGAGATAAGAAAAGTTAATAGGGTCAGAGGGGGAGGGTCTGAGCTGGGGGAGTCACAGGGGAATTTCTGAGCCTGGATAAGAGGGGCTCAGGGGTCTGATTTAAACAATTTTTTTCTTTTTCATGGTCAAGGAAAGGTTGATGAGAGGCAGCTATTTAAGTTTCAGATGAATTTAAAAATGCAAACCATATACCTTCTCCCCCCCCCCAATGCTTTCAAACTAGCCATCTTCCTTCATTACACTAAAACAATAGGGTTATCAATGGGGGGGGGGGGGGTTTGATCTAAGTACTATTTACCCTTAAAACTTTTATAAAATTTAATTCCTTTTTTCCTTATATTCTATAGCGCAGTACACCAAACTCACTAAGATATTTCAGCATATGTTGCTAAGTGAAAATGATTCATCTCCAAACTCCTTAATCTCCAAACCACCAAAATTTGCTAACATGTTTTTAGCAGTTCTACAAATTTTTATTATCTGACTTTATTTCTGTAATTTCAACATGGCTAAGGTTTAAATGACAGGGGAGGAAAGTGTCTTACAGGATTTTTTCTTTTCTTATAACCTAATCTCCTGCTGAAAGCCTAAAGTAGGAGCTAGTTCTGTTTATTAGGGCAACTGCTTCAGGTATGAAACTTTATTAATCTTCCCCTGCATTCTAAACTTTTTGGCTGCAGCTTTTTGGCAGTTTTTCTAGCTGGCTGCATTTTCCTTTTAAAAATCCTACATTTTACAAAGACACAAAAATACAGACAAAACAATAAGACACACACAGACGGGATATAAGGAAGAAGCCCCTTTCAGGGGGTGGTATCACTTAAAGTATCACTTAAAGCTGCCCAGCAAAACCAAAAGTTCATCTGATCAGAATAAGATTTTTCAATGACTAGTCTTAATTTCTTTAATTTGCAATAATGATAAAAGCTGAATTAGCTCAAATAAATTATCAACTGAATCTATTGCAGTTTTATGCCAGATGTCACATAATTCAATTGCATGCTGTTTAGTCATTCCCATAACTATTGCCTCTGGTCTCATACTATCAAAAAATCTATCCAAGGGGGAACCCACAGGAATCTTGCTACTGCTAGAACCCATCTTCTGTTACAACTTCTGAAAACCTAAAACTTAATTCTACCTCCCAAACCCTAAGGGGAAACCAAACTTCCTGGGAAAACTAACTAAAAATCCATGGGAAAACTGGATCCAAACCTCTTAAAAGTAAACTTCTGAGGGGAAAACTAATTCTAAACCTACACTTCCTCAATCCCAGCAGGGGGCCCAGACTACTCCTCAAAATAGAAACAAACAAAAACAAAAATCAAACCCTAAACATTACCAGAGTTCAAAAGAAAAAGGGATGGAGAGCAGGAGTCCTACCTCTAGAGGCAGTCTTTCGTAAAAAAGCCCCTCAGTAAAAAATTAACTGGAGATCTCTAGGGAGTTTTTCTGGAAGGTTGTCAGCTGGGGTCCAAATCCTGACTTAACCTAGCATGGCTCACCAAAAACTGTGGTGGGTAAAAGATGAAATGACTGAGGAAAACAAAGATTTGATCTTCTGAGCACATTAATTTATTAAACAATACATGCCAATTGCCTAACAAAGCAAGACCAGACCTCCTCAGCTTAGGGCTCGACCTAGAGTGCAGACAGAAAAGACGTTTATGCATTTAAAAACAATTAATCAAATAAAGCCAATTAATTAAAAGGACAACATAATACAATATTAGGTAATCTGATTTCTAATTGGATTAGGGACTTTCCAAGTTGGGAGGGGAAGAGTGAACAGGTGCAATTCCCTGAATTCAGAAAAGAAGGCGTCCTGCTCCCCAAGTATCTATAAACAATCAAAGGAACATGGATATAATAACTGATTGATCAGTATGGAGCCAGTTTTCAGATAAGACATGGTTTGCTTGAGGTGTACAATTGTGAGAAAACTCCTTGCATCAATCTTTGGATCTGAATAAGTTTCTATTCAGCATAACACAGGTCTTTGGTTAAGGGTCTCTAAATGGCAGGTAGAGGTGGTCTAGTTTCCCAGCCATGCAAGGCTAGTTTCAAACAATGTAATAAGGTTTTCTCCCAGTTCCCACAATTGAATAGTTTCCTCACAAGACAAATTGGATTAGACCCATAATTGAATAGAAAGGAAACTGAGCTAGCTCTAGAATTGAGTCACAAGATGGAGTCAGTGTGATACACTCAATTCCCACTGCCACTTGCTGTCCTAACCCCCTCATTTCCCTCTACTCTCCTGCTTAACACTCTCCTCCTTCATTAACCAAGAGTAAGAAAAGTAGAGAAAAAAACTTGTAACAGATAACTGTAGTCAAGCAAAAATAATCCATACAGTGTCCAAGAATGCCTGTCTCACTCTACCCCCTGAGTCCATTCCCTCTCTGGCAGCAGGTAGGCACCATGCTCCACCATTGGTCCTTGGGAGACAGGGTGGGGCAGTGCTCCCATCAGGGTTCTTTAGCCTTTCAAAGTTGGTTGTTTGTTGTTGTTGTTGTTGTTGTTGTTGTTATTGTTTTGGCAATGTATATATTGTCTTTGTATATATTATTCTCCTGATTCTACTCCCTTCACTTTGCCTCAGTTCATGCTACCCAGGATTCCCTGAAATTGTCTTTTTTGTCATTTCTTACAACACAATAACATTCTATTATATTCATATGCCACAATTTGTTAGCTATTCCCCAACTGTCTAAGAGACAATCTAAGGCACCTCCTTAGCTTCTACTTCTTTTCTTTTATTCCTCTCCCCCCTTCTCCCAACCACCTTTTAATCCTCCCTTTAGGATCAGGAAGTTTGTTTTGTTTGTGACTTTTCCCCCTGGTGTTATCTTTCCCTTTCCCTACCCTCCCCTACTTGTTTCCTGTTAAGTTTGATGCATTTTTTCACCAAATTGCCTGTGTTGTATGTTCGACTCTCTTTTGTTCATTTCAAATAAGAGGTGAGGCTCATCTGATGCCCACTCCTCCCACTCTTTCCTCCATAATTACATGCTATTCTTCTATACCCCAATGATGGGAAATAGGAAGTTCCATCCCCTTCTTCATTTCTACAATAATATATCCAGGGGTATACTGGAACCAGCTCAGATTGGCTCTTGAGAGTCAATTTAAGAATTGTTAAATATTTAATGTGAGCATTTATGTGGAAATTGGCAAATGCTACAAATCAGAGCTTGATTTATTATTTTGTTGATTGTCTAGACCAGAGGTCAACAACACTATGGCCCTCCACCTGTTTTTGTACAGCCCAAGAACTAAGAATGGTTTTTGCATTTTAAAATAAAATTTGATTGTATTTAAAAATGTAAAAACTATTCTTATCTGGCTGTCTCTTGAGGCTAGATATGATCCAGGGACCCATAATTTGCTAACTCTTGGACTGGACTTAAGAAAGTGATGAAGAAAATGTTAATGCAGGTAAAAGTGTCTAGTGTGTACATTTTTTTCAGAGAGCTAGTTGTTAAACATTTACCTACACACTCCTGAGTATATTCCTCCTTTTAGCTTCTTTCCCCAATTCAGACTCTCAAAACAGAAACATCATTGCCCCCAAG